GATACAAGTCACTCCTTGACCCTGACAATCTTGAAAGCTCTGAATATTGATGAGTCTGAAAAATGAGTGGCAAAGCTAGAAAATTTATGCATCATTTGCCAATATATCTGTCTTACCTAAGTAACTAATTCTCCCTAACTCAGGACTACAAGAGGCTTTTTTACCATTTAGCTATGTTTGCTAGTTTTGATTAGTAGAATAATGTAGAAGGTTTAAAGGACTCAGGATGGCATGTGAAGTGTATCAATACAGATAAAAGGATATTTGGAACAGATTAATTACAATCCTTACTTTTTCCATTATGTTCTTATCCAAAGTGCGTGAAATTAAGATTTACTGTCTCACTCTATTACAAAGCAAAAGAGTTTCCAAACAACTATATTACAGGTTGAAATCCCTGTGCTCTGCACTTTTGATTTAGATCCAAAAGTAAAGTATGCTCTCAGATTCATGGAACACTCTCATCTTATCACTCCAAACTCTTGCATTCAGTAATTGCAAAAGACTAATACAGTGTGCCAGATTGTTAATTATTTTTAATGAAATCAGAGTGCTTTTGAATTTAGATGATTAGAAACAGGTACATGCATCTAAGTGTATGAACAGATTACTAGGTACCTCTGAATATATTAGCCTCACTTCTGTGAGGATGTCTGTGAATTTAAGAGGATGAAGAGACTGCCCTACTGGAGACCATGTGCTACTGAAAGAAGGAAGTTAGCATTCTAGATTCCTTGGTTTTAATTTTAGTGTTAAGTCTCGTTATTTTCAGAACCTTTCCTCTACATCCTTAAAGAGTTGTGGTCTGTCAGTGGCAGAGACTGAGTCATTAAAACTTTCTTCCACGTAAATCAAATTACAGGAAAGAGATAGAGGAGTATTTATTACTGAAGCTCTCTCAGCTTCCTCTAATGAGGTCAGAGAAGCTGAACAAGTTTTACATTTGGAGCAGATAATGCTAATCAGCTGTTACTGAGCACTGCTTCAAGGTGACTGCTGTGTCCCACTAAATCTGTCATATTTGCTCATAGATACTTGTGGAACTACAACAGCATTAAAAAAGTGAAATGTATCAGCTTAAATATTAATTTTTTAGGTTGATGACTCAATTACTTGTCATATCATATAGGAACAATTTCACGAAGTGAGCAGTGTAATACAGCATCTTTTCCCTATTAATTTAGGATTGAGTACATCTAGTGCTCCCTTTTCCATGGGGAAAACAAAACAAAACAAAACACTTCAAATGTGTTTGCTGCTTTTTAGTGTATTTCTATTTTAAACAAATCCATGTATGAATTTTCAGTTAAAAACATTTCATTTGCCCCATTTCTCAGAACCCTCCTTCAAAACTCCCTTTAGATTTACAAAATAAGGACTTCTGAATGGATCTTTTAAGGTAATTAAAACTATCATCTATGAGTATCAGACAACTCTGCATAAAGCTTCCAAATATTACGTGCAGCTCTACAAACTTCATAAACAGACAAATTCCATTAAGCACCATTTGCAGATCAGTGCAAAGGAATGTCAGCAAACGAAAGCCCAGAAGCTAACAAGTTCTGGCTGCCCTTACTTCAGGGACACATTTATGCAGTTACTTACATGTTTCATACAAAGCCTTCGACTGTATTTTTGACACCCGTTCCCTACCTCTTTCCCTTTCCAATTATCTTCACATTCAGGTTCTCATTATTGACATCTCAGGATTGAAATTGTTGTGGGACTATTGGTCATTGGTAACCAACACGTGCTTGAGCTTCCAAGGCAGATAGCTTCTCCTCCTTCTTGAGCTATACTTTGATCATATATGAAGACTTCAGATTTGCTAATTCCTTTTACTTACTGCCTAAGAGAGCAATAAACAGTCCTCTGAAGACTCACTCTTTATATCGAGACATTTAGTGTTTTTGTTTATGTAGACATAAGCAGTGGTCTTCAAAGGATCCTTCCTTAAATGCTATTTGTATGCATTGCTCATGAACCCAAACTTTACTACGGCTCGTCCTTCTGTACAGACAGCTCAATTTGTGATTGACCGCTGTGGGGCACACTTATTCACTAACAGCTAACACAGAGGAGATGGCTCTACACAATGGCTTCCTTAAGTATCTTCCTGAAAACTGAACATATTTCACTCTCAAATAGTATTTGGGCACTTTGTGCTGCGGGTCAGCTTTGTTACTATAGATTATAGCTATATATTTAAAGTTATCGTGGTGGAATTAACTAACTTCTATTTTTTGTGGAGACCTCAGAGGATGCAACAGGTCTCATGATTCACACGAATTGCTAAGAAATTATGATAAAAGAAGGTGCTCAACTGTATTTGTTGCCTCATTTTTCAGTCTAAAAGGCAGAAACATAAGAGGTCCATGGCCCGTCTTCATGATTGAGAAGAACGTAAGCCTGCCCAGACAGAACGAGGACACTGCACAAACATACCAGCATTAGCTGGCCCATCTCGTTGGCATGCATTTTAAGCAGTCCTCAAGAAATCTCAGAATCTCTAAGGATATGCAAAATTAATAGAAAGATGAATATTTAAAAACACTAGAAAAACATGCCTTAGCATTCAGGGTTTGTCATAACCTAACGTCATGATCTGGAATGGTATAATCAAGCTAGCAAGGGATAGAATCAAAATTATCCGCTAATAAGCTTTTCTGTGCAGACTAAGCAGATTCTCTGAAGAGTGATTTAAATCCTCTGCATAACTTTATTAATTATAAGGAAAATGATTTATTCAGATTGACTCCTCATGATGTAAAAGCATATTTAACACATTTAACACATGAATCTATTTTAATGGAATGAGTTCAGATGACAAGAAGTTATGTTTTTAAGCTAATACTTGGACAGAATGAACAAATTCAGATTCTTTATCTAGATCACCTGTTATTTCCACATTGCTTCAAGATCACAAACATGATGTTTTTGAATATAGTCTATCCTGTAACCTTACATAAAAAGGTTTTAATTTAGTTTCTACATCAAAATTCATTGCGCTAAACCAAAGGTGGCACCTTGTGATTGATAAACCTAAAATGGATTGTCACCTAGTTGATAATTAGGACTGAGTTTTTAATATGCAATATGCTCCCTAGTAAAACAAAAAAAAAAACAAGTTGACTTTTAAGAAGACATTTGGGCTTATTCATTTAGTGATAGTTTGTAATAACTCTGGCTACCTTGGGTACATACTCTATATCAAGATGCCATGTCATGCATGGACTTTGCTAAAACACAAAACCTAGCGAACTATGGAATACTCACTGGAAGTCTGCATTCCCTACTTCTGCAGTAGTTTCACCACATGGACAAGTGACTGTAAAATGCATATCGTAGATCTCCTTCCATGCTTGGTGTAAGAGAAATGAAAGCACATACCAACTTGACTTGAGAATAGCAACATGCCCCTGACCATGAGATTTCTTGATTTCTAATCAGAAATCAGGCTGTTATCAAACATTAGGCAACAGGGCAGAAGAACGCACCTAGCTCTTCCAGGCCTATAGATATTGTTTGTTGTCAGCCACCTGTTTATGAAGTCACCTTCCCTTCTGCAAGTAATCCTACCAGGTCCCCAGAATTGATTTCCAGGTAACTGTTTCTGCTGACTTAAGTGTTATGCAATTCCATCAAGTTTGTCCGGAAGGAAAACTGAACAAGAAAAGATTATGTTGGGGGAGGAGATGAGGAGAGAGTACAAAGGTGATCCAAGAACTTCCACATTAGTATTTGAAGGAGTTCAGCATGGTTTGGCTAAACAGAAAAGCTCACCAATTTAAGACCATGTGGTGTCACCACGACCTCATGTCATTTGGGTCAACAGGCAGTAAGCTGAGCTCCTGTCTTACTGAACCGTAACAGCCAAGTAGATGAGTAAAATCAGGGTGTAAAAACACATTGAAACAAGAGTAAGCAGTAAGCTAAGCAGGCACATATTGGTACCCCTTATTGGCCCAACCAACTTTCAGACAGATTAGAGAAGTGCATAAACCTACTCATTTGGATAGTTTTGCTAATCTTTTCTTGTAACTAGAAAGCTGGCACATTTCTTCTCAGAAAAATTGGAGACTAATTGGAGACTAACTGCTCACCTTTGTGAAGTTGTTTCAGGCATAACTCTGCCCCAAACTATAGTGACTGTAGGTAAAGAGCATGAGGAAGGAACTGCAAAACCAACAAGGATGTTTTCCTAGTACTTACCACCATGAGATACTTAGCACAGTGAAAATACGCATCAACTACTTTGTCTAACCAACATCTGCAGTCGTACTCTGCTCCTGGTGCTACCTCTCCCTGGCCAGAAACCAACTTGGCAGCCAAGCCACTTCCCTTGGGAGACTTTTAATGAAAATATATTAAGGGACATTTACACAAGTGTTTGTGTTAAATGTTAACTGGAGCTGATCAACCTTTCAGTACACAGGTAAAAATCGACAGTATAAAGTTGTGTGTGGAAAATACCAAGCATACACCCAGCAGATGGTGCTATGATGTTGTGTTTCACTGATACTTTTTTCCACGTTTAACTATTTCACATTTTATGTAATGTCAAGCTTCTGTCTTCTGTGAATGCTGCTACTGAAACAACTTGGGCTACTAAGAATATAACAAACCCTTTGTGCAATGCACAAGCATGCAAAGATGTGGCAAACCAGGTCTCTGCAACAGGATAGTTTTCCAGAAGTCTTCAAGAAGCTAGTTTTGAAGTAGGTAGCCAGCAGAAGCAAGCAGGTACCACCTGTCCTTTTTGCCTGCACTGTCCATTCAAGCCACATTCAACTGCTTTTTGGGTGTCTTTAGGCAGTGACAAGAGACACCAATCCTTACTTTGAGGTAACATACAGGTTCCCAATTTGAAAACTATAAATCTAAGCAAACATGAAGTCCCTGTAGTCTCACAAAGGACCCAACATTTTAGCAGCTTACTCAAGTGCTTAAATAGGCCCCTTCATTTTGCTCAGACCAAATCATTTTAATCTTTTCCACAGGAGTCTGGCACTACCTGCATGATGAAATATTTCTGCTGCCTATCCAATTGGATCAGCTTCCAAGATTCTTCCACAAACCCCTGAAGTTACTTTGCTCTATTGTGGACACTCCTCAGAAGTCTGCCATACTGTGATTACTCGAGGAGCATAGGATCTGGTGCAGTATTTTCAGTGCAGAACTTGAAGAAATTAACTGGTTCTCAAAACAACAGCTACAAGTGACATTAAAACTACAAGCATGCTTGCTTTCTGAGCTGAGTTCATGACATTAACAACTTTGACTGCCCAAACAAGCGTCTCTACGCATTGAGAAATTAATATTACTGCAGTCCATGAAGTGGATTTTTTTTTGTTGTTTTTCAAATTCATAAGGGGGAAAAAAAAAGGCCCATCAATTGCCATGAATGCGTCTTCTCAGGTATATCACCCCCTTGAAGGTATGAATTGTCAATTCAGTAACTGAGGAAGCTGCATTAAACATTGACTGCTTGGATTGATTATCCCATATAACATTTTGATCTCCACATATAGGTGACCTTTGAGTATTTAGGCATGCCAGCCTCACGTACAAGCTGCAGGTTATACCAGACTCCTTCCACCATCACTGGAAGGTGAGAACCTAGCAGCCCAGTGTCCATTATTTCCAGAGATGCTTGGTGCTCGCAAGCACTGACATGGCCCTAATGACATGGGTCTCAGCCTGTAAGCTAGCTGCAAGTGCAAGATTTAATGATACGAGGTCTCAGGCCATCAATTTCTATAAAAACCAGAAGCAAGGCAGAAGTTTTACAGTGAGAACTGAAGCTTCCTTTCCACCCCAACAGCCATCCACAATTAAGGCTCCAGATTGAGCAACAATAAAAACCAGGTAGACAGGACATTCCTGCCTTCTATCCCCTAGGGAGGAAGCAGCTGATGCTGCTCTATTTAGCAGTATACAGGACTACAGGCCTGCGCCATGCTCTTAGGCAATTCCCAGAACAAAGCACCAGCACTTAAACTAGTCGCCTAGCTTAGCCTGCTAACACTGGTCAGGGAGTTGAAGAAGTGAGCCTAATCCAGTTCAGATCAGCACACATAAGAGTTGGTTTTGACATAATACCAGAAGTCTTGGAGAATGTTTCCCAAAGACACCTTGAAGCTGGATGTCAGTCAGTAGCTACAATGAGTGATGCTCCTCTCTCCACTTCTGCCTACAAATCCCACCCACCCTATTTCACTATCACTTTCACTATCACTTGTGTTAGCATGATGTCCTGGCTTACAGAGCCCAAACTGAACACTTTTCTCTCAGTTGAGCAGGATTCTGCAAAATCAGCTTCAAGTCCACAAGCTGTTACAGAAGCAAGGCCTAGAAGTAATTTGGAATAAAAGCTTTGTTTCCCAGGAAGTCTGTGTAGCCATGTTGTCCATCTACTTCTACAGAGATTGGAGGAGCTCCTCCTAAGTTACTTGAAATTGTTTACTTTTCCTCCCAAGTCATTACTTAAACATTAGAAACAAAGAGCCAATTGCTAGAGCATGATTTATTGTCCTTTTTAGGGAGTACAAAGGCAGCTTTACAAAAAACAGCCAGTGGTCATTACCCCAGTGAATTCTGTTATAACCTAATTCACTGTAAATCAAAACCTGCAGGCAGGTATAAACTGTAAGAGCCAAACCGCTCTCCCAAATCACTCAGAAGCCTCACTAGCACTTGAACACATTCCAGTACAGCCCCATGATCTATCACTTTGACTGTTTCCAGGACCTATCCTGGAATAAGAACCTTAAACTTTACTGACAGTTGTGCAACTGATGTGGCTGCTTAAGCAGCTGAGAGCAAACCATTCCTCCTGCTTTTACAGGAAGATCAGATGAGTACAGCAAACCACATCTTTGAAGTGATACTGAGGGGACAGACAAAGATGCAGTTCAGGACTACTGGCCAGACCAAGAGTAGTTTGTGTCATTTGAAGCATTTAAAGAATTATTTTTGGTATAGTGTTCTTTGTTTCTCAAGCGGGACCGCATGCTTCCCTCTTCCCCAAAGCAGTGGAGTGTTGGTAGAGAAGGGAAGCCGTGTAAGAATTGACAGTTGATGCTGTTTCTTAAGAAAATTCAGACTTCTGATTCACAAACCAGAGGGCATCCAACTTAGTCCTTCAACTGGGAAACTTCGTAGAGGTATGCACCAAGCATCTTCACCCCCTGGATGTAGTTGTACCTGTAGGGAAGATAATTCCATTAGCATGTCTTACTCTGAGCTGTTTCACTAGTAGCTGTACACTTTGCAGTATCTGTCCTATGCAGCCAACAGATGCTACAGGAACCACTGCTGCAGGACAGAAATGCCACCCTCGGGGAAGCAGAAAGGAGTCCAGCTTTGACAGCAAAGTACAAAGGCATTCTAGTTTCAAATGTGCGTGATCAGAAGTGGTAATAAGGTCAAGATTCAGCTACAGACCAGTTACCACAACCACCCACTCATGTCATCCTCTGATGAGAAGTTGCACTTTGCCTTCCAACAGCTCAAAGAGCCCAGTCCTCCTTGGTCTTTTCCATAACACATGTTAAGACCCACAGTACAACTCAGTCTGTCACAGATAAAATATTCTTACCTATTTAGCTTCTCATTTTGAGAGTGTGCACCATCATCTGCAGCTCCAACAGGAAGCAGCATGACATTCTTGCCTGTTGCTTCTTGAAAAGTAAGGGTAACAGGAATGCTTCCTCCCTCCCTTGTCAGGTCTGGATCAACTCCAAAAACTAAAACAAGGAGGTACTCCAGTTAGTTTGGGGTTGCATTTGTTTATCTAACAAGTTCTTACTGCTGCTTAAGCAATCAGGTACCAAACATTTGTGTATGGTGCTGGCCAACCAAGCAGCTCTTAATTAGCCACATGGCAAAGATCACAGAATTGTGGAATTTCACCTCAGAAATTGTGTTGGAGTATTAGCAGAGTTTAGTTCAAGTAGATAACGCTACCCAAAAGGCAGCTGTACTCCAAGAGAAGTTAGATTTGCTCTAGTTCACCTATTACAACTGCTTAAGATGCTAGAATGCCTAAGCTTTAAGGTCTTTGACTATGGAAATAATCCCAACTACTGACAATTTCATCCTTATACAAAAGCAACACTATACCAAAAGGCTTGTACAGTAGGGATGAGCTTGATAGTAACTTTTCTTCTGTCCTGCACCTCCGAATTGAGTTTAAGTACTGCAACTGAAATACTTTGTTACTTAGCCAGCCAAATCTACTACCTACAAGTAGGCAACCATAAACATTCTGCAAACATGACTTCCTCAGTGCTCCTTGAGGTACTGGAACAAGAGCTCTTTAGTCCCCCCCCCCCAATACCAAGTGGAAAATCCACTGACCTGTCTTCATGGCCCTCCTGCCAGCCATGTAGTGTGGATGGTCAAAGTCAGACACCCAGGGTTTCCCACCATGGCCTAAGTACACTTTGAATTTGTTGGGGCTCTGCAGCTCTGCAAACTTCTTGTTCAGGTAGTCTTCAACCTATAGGAAAGATTGAGAAGTCTTTCTGTTATTCACATGAGCACTGGTGAAGACAGTATACTAAAGGCATATAAGGAACTTGCAGGTCACTACTGCTGAACAGATACAGAAAAGCTATTGCTATTTCATATTATTACTATGTAGCTCTGTGGTCAGAACCTCCTTTAGGCAAGTAATAGCATTACTGTAGAACAGTCGGCCATTATGTCAAACTCTTACACTTTGGAATATGCTCTGGTGGCAACGCAAGTGCCCTGCAGTTAAATCAGCTTTCATTCCTGAGCTGTCTTCAAGTTAGAAGAGAGAAACTGGAGATCAAGACCACTATACCAACTCCCTCAATATCTGAGCTCAGGTGCAGAACATGGAAGACTGTAGCAAAGTAAACAGAACTGCTTCAGAAATCAGGAAATTTCTCCCAGACACAGAGAAAGGAAGCCTAGAGACTGTTGCTTTGAGAACAAAGCGTCTCAACATACATGCTTTGTGACTTCTTCAGGAGTCATGTTTGGCACAAGCCTGATTGAGAACTTGCCAATCACTTTCCTAGGAATCACAGTCTTTGCTCCAGAGGCTGAGAAGGCTCCTTCAATTCCATGGAGAGACAAGGAAGGGTACCTCCACCTGTGCATTAGGATGTCTCTCTGCAGAAAAAGCAAAGATGCAAGGTTACATCAGATTTCACAGAACTCCCATAAAGTAAATTCCTTCAATCTATTAAAGACTTGCAAGTAGCAGTGCTTTCTCACATGGACAAATGCACCTCGATCGTGATCACTCAGTTAAACAGAAGCCATTACTCCCACCACGCACACATTGATGCAACAGCTGGCTTCAACACCTTCAGAGATTTTTCAGTAGCCCTAATTTTGCTTTCTCCCACTTCTATGGAACTTACAGGACAGTCAGTCTGCTTCTGATAAGGACAGAAATACCACTTTAAGATGCTCAAGAACAATAGAAAACACCTCTGGCTCAAGTCAGGCAGGTACCTTCATTCACATTCTTATGGATCACAAATTTTCTAAGCCTCTCCACTGCAAACTGAGACATACTGGGCTCCTTTCGGCTATCCATATTGTCTACATTAAACCAACAGAACTCTGGTTTCATTGACTACCATCACTGGGCCCTTTCAGATACACATTTCCAGTACAACCTGCTTCTAATCTCCATTCAAGCAGAACCATCACTGCCCAAAATGTTCTCACCTGGAGATTACAGCCTTCTTGTATCTCCCCTTAGTCCCTAGTCATCTATTGCATGCATAAAGCTTAAAACTCTGCAAACCAACTCAGGATTTCAGTCTAGCTGAAACTGAACAGCTTTAGTGCAGTATCTGAAGTGACAAGCATCTTGCCAGCTCCTCCTTACACATTATATTTCATCCATTACTTTATAGGACAAGGCTAAACAAGGAAGCCTGTGCGCTCTCAGTTGATGTAAACCTGAGCATGCAGAGACAAGACCGAGCATATAAAACTGTTACTTAGGGCTGCTTGAGTTGAGCCTGAAGTCCTCTCCTGACAGTACTGTGACAGGAGACAGACCTGCACATGTAAACTTGGCCTTTACAACACTTTTAGCATTTTATGATAGACACATTTACATCTATGGCTTATCTCTTTAAGATCAAAGGTATATGTATTGCACACTAGACTTAATGCAGTTAAAAGCATTTATTTGGACAGCTCACAGGATGGCTGTTCGAGAAGCACAGACAAGCATTTAGCAAACT